GTCTACATAATTAAAAATGCCATCCAAAGTATGCAAATGCTATACTTACTATGCGGACAAAGTCGCGGACACAGCTAGTATAAATAAATAAGCAAGTTCACAAATAGAAACTAACTATAGCAAAATCATTAAAAAGAAAAAAAACTGAACCATTCTGAGTACAAACACCTAGATGTGTAACGGTTATTTCTAAACCAATTATTAAGTCGAGATTAATTAATAATCCGACGCTATAATTAAATTCGAACCAAATGTTCTCATGTTAAATATGTAATTGTTATTAATTAAATCATAACTTGATATGTGAACTATTTTGTGAGTTATGGATGAGAAAGTTTATACGACAAATATATGTGCACCGTTTTCTTTTACTTTTATAACATCCCTACTAATGTTGTGAATACAAAAATGTGCCTGTCTGTCTATTTGTGACGGCCTCAGTGGTCTAGCTGTTTAGCATGCCCCTTTACTTCCAATATTCGCGGGTTCGATTCCTCGCACGACGCAAAAAATTTTATTCATGAGTATGTTTGTGTCGGTTTGGGTGTTTTACTATGTGTATTTATTTACAAAAAAATATATAAGTGTTTGTTGTCTAGTACCCACAACACAAGCTCTGCTTACCGTGGGACTAGATAGCGCTACGTTAATTGTCCTGGGTTATTTATTTATTTTCACGACTAAATGGCTCAATGATCCTTTATTGTAATTGAAATTGCAAACAAGCTGACGGCCCATCTGATCGTAAGTGATAACCGCAGACTGTAGGTATAGATGAATAGCAGCACTAAGGACATCACGTTATCATGTGATACCGCTCTTTTACACTTCGTTGCAATTCAGGAGGACTATGTTGTGCTGTCATATCACTTCTTTATCTCACCACCAACATACACTGCTTATAAGCAAGCTTATGGGTTGCAGAAAAAGGTAGACAGATATATCCACATGACTTTTTACAAAATCTAGCTAAGCAAAAAAATGTCGTAAACATAGAATATACCGTTAAGACAAATACCAGCCTTTTATCTCAGAACAATATTTTAATAATGTTGAAAACTACAACAATTGCTTAAATCACGCAGGTGATCGATAGATAAGCGATAAATTCTATGAAGGTAGCCAGCATCTGGATGTTGATATGGCAGTAGGTAGGATTAAATTTCTTTATTTTAATTATTCATTTGTGAAATGTATATAATTTTAATATGTCGGTCTCTTTTCAATGCAGACAATGAACTAATTGACTGAATGAGTGACATTGTCACTAGACGTTGCAATTGATCGTCTGCGATTATTAATGTATAGATTTAAAGTAGAACGGACAGAACTATATCCATCCTTTTTTTACAATGCCTTCCTTTTCATTGACTCGACAAAAACTGCTGCGATTTCATGTAAACCTGGTAGTCAGCGTATAGACAGCCCTAGTTAATAACGGGGACGTGACGTATGTAATATTATTGTAAAATTCATTGTGGAGTTCTTCTGTTTTATGAATTCCTAGTACTTTGTTATGAATTACTTTTAAAATTTAATTTATTCACAGGACTAGGAAGGACTGTTCGCTATTCGCCATGTGTGGTTGGGATGTTTTATTTAAACAAATCTACTTCTCTATATGTGACAGAATTTATAAAATTAAATGAATATAACATAAAATTACAAAAATTCTAGGATAACTTTTGTATGTAAAAATTTCATTTTTAGTTTTAATTTCAGACTGTCGCGCCTGGTAGGTGGCGATATTTTGTAAACATCGCCAATACTCAATCATGGTCCAAGAGGATAGGATCCATATTAAATTGTTTACATTTCTTAATAATAGAAACTTTTATATGCATATAGTTAAAATTAATTTTTAAGACATCAAGATTTATATAATAAAAAGGAAAGATTAGTTTAGATTTTTTCTTTATAATATTAATAAACCAGGACAATTCACTAGTTCCAAACTGAGTAGCTTGTACTATGGGTACTAAACGACAAAAAAAGGTTGTAGAAATTTCAAAACGAATTAAAATATACATTTTTTTTCTATATACTTACATAATATACATAGAAAACACTCAGAACAATAGAACCAAATACACAAATATTTTTTACTTGCGAGAATTGAACCCGGGTCTCTCAAAAACATAAGAGCCACGATCAAGAAGGCGCCTAGGCGGTGTGCTAACGGACTAGTCACTAGATTCCGCAGTTTCGACTGTATACTTGATATTGTGCTAGCTTTTCAGTCTACAGCGACCGCTTCAAGAACTCCTACGCCTTACATGTGACCTCATATGACTACAATACCCTAATTTATTTAGCTAGCTAAGAGCTCCAATCAATTATTTAACGAATTGTGTAGAATATATATACTCAATAATGTTGCACATGTATTTGTGTGATGAACTATTGAAATACGTACGGGATAAGTACATAAACAATACTCTATATTCCATAGGCGGTCCAACCAAAATAAATCAAGGCGAAAGCGCGTAGGTGGCCCCTCCTGCAAAACCGGCAATTACCAATTAACTTCGCCTTAAATATCCACGTTCGAAATTCAAAATTCAAATTCATTTCGACGCCCGCCCGCCAAACGAACGGGTCACTCGTCTAAAATGGTACCGTGAAATCGCAACGCTATTTTAAGCGACGAATTGGTTGAATATTTTTTATTTTTTCATCGACAACGCAGACTGAAGACCTAATTTTGAATATCTACGTTCGAAATTCAAAAACCAATTATTCTGACTTACGAATACTCATCTAAAATGTTATCTTGACGCTTTTTTAAGCGGCGAATTTAAACGATTTTAAATATTTTTTTTAAAAGTATTGGCAGAAATCTTGATATTGTAATAAGTACAACATATAATTAATTCGTTAAATTTAATAAAAGTAGCCGAATCAAAGGGGCATTATGTGACGTGTGATAAATAAAAAACTAGCCAGTGTAATGAATATTTTTATTTTACATTAAAAATGATTCATTTAGACCTTATGAATTATAAACAATTTATGTCTATCAATCTTGCTGACCGATCGGATTCCAAATAGCATAGTGTGAAGAGGCCTTTATATGGCTTAAAATGTATCTAAACGATGTTTATATCTATTATATCTATATTTATACTATAAGGTTTTATTACAAGTTATTATATATATAACATGATGCGAATAGAAAAGTATGACAGTCAAAAATATGTATTTATTTTATTACATTTTTAACTAAAATTATTTATTTATTCACTGAAGATATTATGATTATAGATACATATTATTATAGAATAAATATTTTATATTATTCTAATAGTAAACATTTATTTCTATAAAATTATTTATTACAAAAAAATCATTTTTTATTAAACAATATTTATGTCAATTTCATTTTATAGTTGTCCAATTTACTAAAGCAATTAGTAAAACATTTCAAAAATAATAATGTAATATTTTAAATGTTATACATAAAACTAATAAATAAGTAATTTAATAATTTAGCACCATATACCTACCACTTAAAAAATTAGAGTATCAAAATATTGAATTTTAAATTGCAATTATCATTTAAAATTAAATACATTAAATGCAAAATTATAATTAACAAAATCTCATTGTCATGCAAAAATTTATTTCTTAAAAATAATTATAAACAATAATTATCACACAATTTCACCAAAACATATTTACAACAGTTCATAGGTTATGCAATAATCATTAAGCTAATTTTTAATTAAATATAATATAATCTAAAATTGTATATTGTTTTTTATATATTTTGGCTGAGCATGGGTACTATTAATATCTCAAAACATTAAATTTATGGAAAATACACAAATTTAAACTTTAACTATTGCATTAATTGTGTTGTTAGGATGATATCAATTTGATTTGATTTGATAATATCTACATACTATGATATATTATAGACTTAAGTTACAACTTAACAACTATATAACCTAACTTTGGCAATATAAGTACTTACATATATAGAAAGTATTCTATAAAAATATATTTCAATATAAATAGTATATAATTAAAATACAGTACGGTATAATATATAGAGTAGAAAAGCTAGAAAAAGACCGATAGATTTTGACTATAAAATCTCAGATTTCGAATTTTTAGTATGAGAAAAATAATCAATTTAAACAAAAAATATGATAAAAAAAATTGAATATACAACTCCAGTAGCTACATCATCAGATTCTATATTTAAGATATATAAATATACTTAAATATATAACATACTTCACGTTTTACCCGGAAAATCAGCGCCACCTACTAGGTAAGTTTGCATTATCAAACCAACCAGAAATCTATTGAAATATACACACAATATTTCATCCAAATCAGTCCAGTCGTTTAGGAATTAGGTGACAAACACGAGTACAGAAGAATTATTTATATACATATATTAAGATAGCAAATAAGCACTTAAATAATATTGTATGTCATACAATGTATATATTAATTTTCATAAAATACATTATAACAGCACAAAAAAACAAATAATTAAAAAAAAATAGCAACTTATAAACTAATTATTATAATTATCTAAAAAACTATGAGATTCGTGTCACGTTATATGGTAGGCCCGTTTAAATAATTGTCTAAAAATAAATTAATATTATATTTATTTATTTATATTTTAGGATACATTTATTCTGTAGATATTACAAATGTTTTATATAAAGTTGCGTATTGTTATAATCCCGTTCGATATGTTATTTAGTTCTTCAATATTTAATTATAAAATTACAATGTTATATATCACAAACTTAATTTTGAATTTATTTAATGTTACTAATTTTATTTTAGAAATTATTATTTATAAATACAAATCACAATATTAGCTACAAGAAAAATAATCTACATTTTTATTTTGTCTTTGGTATTGTTTATTTTAATTAGTTTTACATCTCTTACACTTACAATAATATACACCTAAACCCCCCTCTGATCGATCCCCGTTCAGATCAAACGAGGATCGATATTACAAGTTCGAATACTAACCGGTGCCATCAGACTAAAGTCGTATCCGTCAGGCAGGAGTTGGCCTTCAGCCGTTCCATAAGTCCTTCCGCGGGTTTGGAGTGCCATCTGCACTCGCCCCCTATCATCTGTAAAGGCCAGTTGCGACCAAAAGGATTAGAGTATTCCAAAAAAACACCTAAACGGTTAATGAATAACAATTTTAATTAATTTAATTTCCATTGTTGGGGGTTTTCACAAAGTATGTGGTCAGAGTCCCCTTTCCTTTCACGAACGTGGGTCCCCGACACTCGCACGTGTAGCCTACGTTCATTAGTACCCTGAAAAAAATTTATTTATTTAATAATAACTGTAATATAATTACAGTACTACACACTACATGGCGCTATGTAGTTTAAAGTTCCAACTAAGCATATGCAAAACTTGTGCTATGTGCACAATAATATCTGTCTTTACTTTGACAATTCACACAGTGCCATCTAGTCTGAAGTAAAGCGAAGCTTGTGTTATTGTACTAGACAACTGATACAAATATACTATTTTTTGTAATTTAAACCATGCGAATGCAAACATTTGTATTAACGAGTATGTTTTTTTGTATCAATCTAGGTGTTTTATGTATGAATGTATTTACAAAAAAAACTAATTATTTGTATCAGTTGTCGAGTACCCATACCACAAGCTCTGCTTACCGTACGACTAGATGACGCTGTGTTAATTGTCCAGGATTATTTATTATTTTATTTATTTACAAGTTATGGGAAAAAATGGCGATAACAATCATAATTTAGGTAGATATAATAAAAATACGTATGGTAACTTGACCACTGACAGACGGACGTCAAGTAAATTGTTTGTATTCAGTGCATTTGAAAATGAAGATGCAACTGTTAAAAATGCCACAATAATTAACAGGAATAATTAGACAAATTGTACAATATATTAATATTTTGGCAAAATATATTTATTTATTTATAAACTCTTTATTGCACCAATAGAATTAATGCATAAGAATTATACAGAAAAGAGATATGGAAGTACAAAAGGCGGTCTTATCGCTAGAAGCAATCATATCATATCATATATTTATTACTATTATTTGCCAAAAAACTTGGTTGGAGAGCAGGAAAGTGTAAGGGTGCGGCATTTTTTAGTTTTTTCTCCGCCTCAAGATAAGATGCATGACTGATATAAATTATGTATTTTAAAGAAATGTGTTAGCGCCTGACATATTTCTATTAGCAATACATCTGTGCGTACTTTTTGCCATCATAACTCGAGATTTGCAGTACGTATATACTACCGGAAGGAAAGCGACAACTGTGGTCTATATACGTAAACAGACGAAATGGCAAACATATCATTCCGTATGACAAGATGACAAGATACCCTGTAAATTCACTGCCGTTTCCTTTCTCTTTCGGACAAGTTCATTGATGTCTAGTATCAAACAATATCTAGTAAAAAACAAGTTTACTTGTGTAAAACGTTATTATTTCTTTCTACTGTATCAGAAATAAGTAAGACGGAGGAGGAGTTCCCACTACCCACTACTACAAGGTTAGGTTCCCACTGGTATAACATTTTATACAAAGTTTTTATACTTTGGTACAAATTTTTTTTTACAAATAACGTTATTTGCATAAAACGTTATAATTTCTTATTTTTATTGCTCTCTACTTAATCAGAAATTAAGTAAGAAGGAGGTTCCCACTTCCTACTAGGTTAGGTTTTCATGTATAACACTTTGTACAAAGACTTTATATAAAGTGTACGTAAGAACTTTGAATTTTGTTACTCATAACTTTGGAAATAAAACTCACTTAGCAGTATCTTCAGTAACCTGTATCTTCCCCATAATCCCCGTTGAATCCATCCTGGACGCCACGTTGACGGTGTTCCCCCAAATATCATATTGGGGCTTCTGAGCTCCCACCACTCCAGCTATCACAGGGCCATGATTCAGACCTGTAATTATAATTTAAATCTATTTACTTACTTCTTACATGGTTCAATAGAGTCGTTATATTATTATTATATTAATACATGAAACAAAATTTTTTATCCTTTTTTACTAAAAATGCGCCATGGGAGGAGTATGAAATTTCGGACACTTATATTTTATACAGAGAATGAGTATAGATAGGTATTTTTTAATTTTAGTGCATTAAAATTCATTATATCAATAAAAAAACACACACGCTACCATGTATTTAATAGACACACATATATAGTCTTTTCTTAATTCTTGCTAGTTCAAAAATCTTTTTGTATTTTTTATTAAGGTCGAATTTCAACTACTGGCCTAAAATAAATACACAAGATTTGTCGGTGACTTTGGTGGACCAGCGGATTAAGTAACTGCTATAATTCAGATGGTTGCGGGTTCGATTCCTCGTAAGTTACATATGTACATTTGTATTCATGAGTATGGTTGTTTGTATTGGTCGGGGTGTTTTCTATTATGTGTTTTTTATTACGTATGTATTTGTAAAAAGATGTATATACGTATATCAGTTGTCTAGTATCCATAACACAAGCTTAGCTTAGCTTGGAACTAGATGGCGCCGCGTAAAATATCTATGAATGTGAATGACTAAAAAACTCAAGCTAGTATTAATATAATGAGAATTAACACTTACCTATTCTAAGCTTGAACCTTTGGAATGATTCTCTGTTGATCTGATCTAATATTGTCATCAGGGATATCGCAAACTCCACCAGTATCCCCACCGTGTGCTCCTCTTTTCTACTCGCATCCTGTAAAAGAAGAAACTCAAAACATCACCTTTAAAAACTTACCAATAATTACCTAATGCTTTTATATTATTTTGTTTAATTCCTCTACCATTAGCATAGCATATTTGTAATCTCACATCACAAATATTCAATGCGGAAATCTGACCACCACTACTAGAAGCGTTACGACCTTCTCAATTGGTGATCAAATTCCAACCGCTATTGAGTCTTCACACATATTGCGATATGTGTTTCGCCTCTGAACGAGGCATCATGAGGCAATAAATAGAGTTCGAACAAGGGCTGACTAAGGCCTAGGCAACCTAAGCAATTAAGTACCTAAGGCCCGTTTTTAAAACTAGGTACCTAACGCAAAGTTTCATGACTGAAAAATAGACTTGGAGTTACGTAGCCTACAATATTGCCTGAGGTCTACTTTAAACCTTAGTCCGCTACTGAGTTCGGATATAACTTTGATTCCTAGTGTTGATGGTTTGGCGATTAAACTGCGACTAACCAAAACTATATTTTACTTAATATCGACTAACCAAAACTTTAATTTACATAATATCGACTAACCAAAACTTTAATTTACGTAATATCGACTAACCTAAAATTTATTTCACTTAATATCGACTAATAAAACTTTATTTGACTTAATATCGACTAACCAAAACTTTATTTCACGTAATATCGACTAACCAAATCTTTATTTGACTTAATATCGACTAACTAAAACTTTATTTGACATAATATCGACTAACCAAAACTTTATATCACGTAATATCGACTAACCAAATCTTTATTTCACGTAATGTGGCTCAAGTCGGATTTACGTCGTCCATATTTTAGGAAGAAAAACGCAAAATGTGGAAGTCGTCTGAATAAATGAGTATCTTTAATGATAAACTAACTGATGGTAAATGGCAAATGTCGCCTAAATATATAAATAACATCATGTAATAGTGATCATGATTCCATGAACACAACACACAAGCTGTGTGAGTCTATATGGCGCTGTGTTAATTGCCAGGGTTATTATATATATATTTAGGGGGCGTCCATAAATTACGTGAGATTTTTTTTTTAATTTATTCACCCTCCATCCCCCTTTGTGAGATGACGTGAGATTTTATTCAACCCGGAGGGGGTTGAATAAAATCTCACAATCCATTCCTCAATCTCACGTGAGATTTTTCAAAATGTGGGTTTCTTAAGTAAACGCGTTGGACTGTTATTAAAAAAAAATTGCGTCGTGCTTTTATTTAAGACTAGTTAAGACTAGTAATCAATATTGCTGAGAGTTAATGGGCAATCTGGATTAAAAATGGATCAAAATAGTGTAATTTTTTTTTGTATCACTGAGAAAAACAATTGCTTGTTATTTACTGAGACCAGGGGGGTCTCCAGGGGTATTCTCCAACGTAAATTTAGATGAGTTCAGACTCTACCTCCTCCCCCCCCTTAAACATGTCATGTGATTTATGGACGCCCCCTTTTTTACTATCAGTATCATACTTACAATCTGTTCTTCCTTCCCTGGCCTCAGTCCCGACGCAATCATGTAAGTGCTGCCTATTGTCTTGATCTTCTCTATACAACTAAACTTTGGCTTCAGCAGTAACTGAAAAAAAAACAAGTGCCAATATTTACATCACATAGATCAGCTTGAATATTTGTGGTCTCACACATGCTAATGGTGGTAGGAGTTAAACAAACTTTTTTTATGCTTTTGTAGTACTATTAGCTTGTAGAATTCTTTACCTCACACACTGCATGCCAGTTCTAGTATTGGAATATTTAAAAGTCGATTAAAAATATTATCTTTCACAATGCTGATGTATTTATTTACATACACCAAAATAATATTTATTACATTTTTTGTCTGTCTGTCTGTCTGTTCCGGCTAATCTCTGTAATGGCGGGACCGATTTTGACCGGACTTTTTTTGACAAGTCGCTGATGTAATAAAGAGTAACTTAAGCTACTTTCATGTTAGAAAAATAAAGTTAAATTCCACGCAGACGAAGTCGCGGGTACAGCTGGTAGATAATGTAATACTTACTTTATCAAAGTCACATATAATTTCGTTGAGCAGACGCAGGCACTCCAGTCCTTGCTTATTAACATCGGTCTCGTCGTAAAACTCCTTATAATTGGGTATGGACGCAAACATCACAGCTATACTCGAGTATCTCTCATGATATAAATCTTCCTGTAATTAAATTAGAAAGAGTCTGTCTATACTAAAATTGCATGGAGTAAATAGAGTATTTTATAAATTTTATTCACGAAGGAAAAACTCAAAAATCCCAAGTTTTATCACTAAACACATAAAACTTATGATTTTTGAGTTTATCCTTCGCAAATAACATATATAAAATCCGCTACTGGCACATATTTATTTGGGAAACTTATCATCATCATCAGCATCATTATCAGTAAGACAGTGTACTTGTACTGCTAGTCTATTGAAATAATATTAATAACCCTGAACAGTTAACATAGCTATCTATTCCCAAGCTGACCAGAACTTGTGTTATAGATGCTATATATGTAACTATATATAGACCAACTCAAGTTTTATGACTAAATAACTGATACACATAATTTTCGGAAACTCATCATCATCGTTATCATCATCATCACCATCATCATTATTATCAGTAAGACTTTGTGCTTGTACTGCTAATCTTAAAATAATATTAATAACCCTGGACAATACATATCCATCTACTCCTAAGTTAAATAAAAGCTTATTTTAACAACTAACATAAATATATAGATACTTTTTTGTACATAATACATAATATACGTAAAATACACCCAGGCCGATACAATCTTATTCTAGAATACAAATGATTGCATCTTGCGAGGAATCAAACCCACGACCATCGGAAGTAAGACGGTGTGCCTTGTATATGATAATCACCTCTGATGCGACGGAAGTCAGGAAATGTTGGGCCACGTGTGCTGGCAATATATTTTCTAGAAGAATCTGAAAAGTTAAAAAAAATAGTTTTTGAATAAAACAAATAATACATTTTATTCATTCATTCATAATTTCAGAGCGACACTCTTGTCGGTGGAGCTTTTTCACTTTCCACGATCTTCCCTCATTCTCCTTAAATATTGATACGACACGACTCCAATTTTGTGTTTAATTCGCTTGATATAACAGTGCATTGGTCTTAATACGTTTTATTATGATTATTATTGTGTATATTATGATTATTATTTTGACTATTAATGTATTTATTTCGAGTAACTTTATGGCCCATATAATATATACCTTACAGACTAATTTAATATATAAAATTCTCGTGTTCAGGTTTCATGTTTATACTCCTCCGAAACGGCTTGACCGATTTTAATGAAATTTTATATGTATATTTAGTAGGTCTGAGAATAGGTTTATAAATATTGTTTGTGCCTCAAAGTGTTATGTGTAGCTCACCCAAAAAAACATATATTTTCATTTTAGTAAATTTTTTTTAAATTTTTTTATTATGTGGCATTAAAAAATATATACAGTCTTCCATTTTCACTCTTCTATCATCAACCCCTATTTCTTAATAGCGATATTAATTTATATGGCAAAACGTTTACTGGGTCATCTAGTATACATACAAAATATAACAAAAATAATTGTTTCCTAAAATAAAAAAATTGAAACTAATAACTAAGGAAGTACGAAATTACTGGAAAATACTAGGATTAGTATATTTAAAATAAATGGCCTTAGACCTCACCTTATTGATACCCCTCATGGTTTCCACTTCCTCTTGTTCAAATTTGAGCTTGTCCTTCCATAGGAAGTCTGTCCTGGAGGTGAACTCAATCTGTCGATCCAGGATATGGAGCATCGCAGCAAGGAAGACCAGAGCCATACCTGCTTTCGCTGCGTAGGGCAGCATTGAAAATCTGGAATTTTTGAAGAGTAGAGTATAACTATCCCAAATTTGAATAGAATAGAATAGAAAATCATTTATTCAAATAAACTTACATTGAAGCACTTTTGAATAGTCATCACATTTTATTTTAATCTACCGCTCATTCGGAAAGCTGTCTCATCAAAAGAAGAACGAGCAAGAAACTTGTGTGTTGCTCTTTTAAATAATTTTATTCTTACTTTACAATTTAAGTTTAAGTGTGTGAATACAAACTACCGATTATCACTAATTCAATTAAAGAATTTTAATGACTGTGTATTATTGTAAACACGTATAACATTTATTTGAAAAGAATACGAGCTGAGTTTCTTGTAAGTTCTTCTCATCTCGAAATCATTCCGAACTGACGGTAGATTTGACATATCATAAGAGTCTGTAATAGACCTACATGAATAAAGATATTGTGAATTGAATTTGAACTACCGTAGAGGTCTATAGAGTTTGACTTTACGTAAAGTCGTATGTATGGATGCCGCAGACTCATTTATCTCAGGGAATAAGCATCTTGCATACTATATGATACGGCATAACTAGCGTCTATAAAAATTGACTTTGTAAAAGGTCCGTATAACTTTTTACAAAGTCTACTATTTCAGGGGCCAGCAGCTTGCTAGCTATACGATACGGAGGCATAATTAACAGCTTCTTTGTGTCAGATTATAATACTTAGAGATAATAAATATACAAGTTTTTATAGTAGATATATTTATAATAATGGAATGTTAACGTGATCCTGGATGCTGATTAATATGTAGTAATTAGCACCCTTTTCTTTTTCTTTTATGAAAAATCTTTAACCTTCGTGAAGGTGAAACAATTTTTTACACGAGGCTCCGCCAAGGCACGCTGCCCTTCTGTTGTGAATGTATAATAAAATAACAGATTCGATAAATAAACACTTACTCTGTATCCATGTCCTGTATCGGATAATACTCGAAGAGATCAGTAGACGCAAACAGAGATATATGCGTGATCAGAGTTAAGCACATTAGCACCAACTTAAAGACAAACCCCACGTGCAGGAACACCGATATCGACGCCAGTGTCAACACTGAACTATACAGGTAACTCTGGAACAGACAGACAACATGTAAATATATACTTAATATACATAGAAAACATCACACCAGACCGATACATACAATTATTCTTATGAATACAAATGTTTGCACCGTGCGAGGAATCAAACCCACGACCATCGAAAGTCAAGTGGTGTGCTAAACCGCTAGAGGCCGTCATTTTCATTTTATAATCTATAGGTTATTACTAAACAAAAATCATTTAAAAGAGCAACATGCAAGGTACTTGCTTGTTCTTCTTATGATGAGTCTGCGTTCCGAATGAGTGGTAGTATCAAAGAAATATGACTACTCAAAAGTGCTTATATACTAAGTTTATTTGAATAAAGATTATTTCTGTTTCTATTTTTAAAACCAAGGTTTTAAATAAGCTCATATCCAATCGAATTATTTTTTATTCTCTTATTACAATATCCTATTTTACTAAAATCCAAATAAGACTTAAAAAATCTGTTTTTACAATATCCTATTTTTCATAATAACATAGTATTAATATTAGTATTAACAAAATTAAATGATTTTCTATTCTATTCTATTCTATTCTTCCAAACAATTTATCATACTCTGCTAAAGCGAGCGTAACCCGAATGCGCAAACGCAGTACTTAACAAAAATATGCTCATCAAAAAAAACTATCCCATTTTTATAGCTCTACGACTTGCCGAGATCTAATTGAATTAAACTTAACTTAACTTAGGAAGTAGTGCCATACTTGGTAACTAATATTATTATATATTTTTTATTTGAGAATTTATACTTCCAAAAAAAAAATTGGAGCTGAGTTTCTTGTCAGTTCTTAGTTCGAAAGCCCTGCTAACTGACAATAGATTTGACCTATCATAAGAGTATGTAATAGACATAAATGAATAAAGACATTTTGATTTGATTTGATTTGATGTATACTTACGGGAGCTGAATCTATTTCAACGTACTGGAACGGAGTTATGTTTAGCGAGTCTGTGGAGTTTGACACGGTACTGTTTCTAACACTGCCATCTATTGGAAACTGTTGCACCACGGTTGTCTGCAACTGATTACAAATAAGATAATAATATTAAAAGATGTGATCTTACTACAATTATAAATGTGGATTGTTAATCTATTTTTCATACCCCTAAGTGGTTATCTACCCCTAAATATATTTTGTATTTACATTTTATCATTATTTAGGATTGAAAAATAAATACAACCTCAAATTTTCGCCCACCTATCATCAACCCCTATTTTTTAATAGCGATTTTAATTTATATGACAACGTTTGCATGGTCAGCTAGTATTAATATATACTTATTCTCATCTTATATATAAAATTCTCGTGTCACAGTTTTCGTTCCCATACTCCTCCGAAACGGCTTGACCGATTCTCATGAAATTTTGTGAGCGTATTGAGTAGGTCTGAGAATCGGCCAACATCTATTTTTCATCCCCCTAAATGTTAGTCCACACCTAATTTTTTTTTTTATTTTTTAGACGACATTTTTAGTTTTTTATGATACAACATACAAAAATACATACAATCCTAAATTTTCACCCTTCTATCATCAACCCTTATTTTTTTATAGCGTTATTAATTTATATGGCAAAACTTATTATATGTATTCATCAACCTACCGTATCCCTTATCTATATAAAACTTACTAATTTATTTGGCTATAGTTTCATTAAAACAGCCTTGAAGAATACGAGCTGAGTTTCTTGTCAGTTCTTCTCATCTCGAAATCATTCAGAACTGACGGTAGATTTTATATCATAAGAGACTGTAATAGACCTACATGAATAAAGATATTTTGAAGTTTAATTTGAAGTTCTTACCAAATTAATAACAGAGCAGGCAGCTACCAGTAGCACCGTCACCAGGAACATGGTGAGTCTTATAAAACGATTGCTGGCCACCACCTGAAGTGTAACAAATTAGGTTTTTTTATAACAAAAATGGTAAGTAAGATGGTGGAAAATATTAAATATTTTTTTTTACATATTGAAAAGAGGAGACTGTTAATGAATCATATTAGGTCTTTTAAGAGATGATGTTGCGTACCTTCCTGCGCTGGTAAATTTCTGTTTTAAGTTGCCACGATGGTCTAACTGATCTGATCTTATCATCCTCCACTGGTGCCCCACCGGCGTAAACCGTTAGCGTTCGAGGGCTACGTTCCATTACCACATATTAATATAACAGCCTAATATAACACACAAAATAAGTGACACTATAGGTTTATATGTCTGTCTGTTTATATATTTACGGTAGGTAAAAAATATAATATAAAAAATTTTACGTTCATGAGCGACTAAAATATCCTACATGAATAACTGATTTTTTAATTTAGATATTTTTTTTTTAATATTGTCAAAGCGAAAGTTCAGTTTAATACGAACCTGACCAGGCTTAGTGCAATTGTCAGTATACAAGTCCTCACTGAGGACCGGCACATCAGACAATGGGTGCATCCCGCGGCGGATGAATTGGCCGTCATACCAAGATAAATACACAAACACCAGAAGAGTAATGAAGGTAGGCCCGAATGAAGAATAGATCACGATGCCCCTGAAATAAGTAAGAAATAATATTTGTAACTTGCAACTTCAATATTTTTTCTTTTTTTTTGTCAACTCGTGACCACGGCTCGTGCAACCTAGTCCAATTCTCAAAAGAAATAAATATGCTAAGTAAAGGACTTACCATAAAGGCGTTGTCAGCCACGATACAATATTATTACTAATATAGCTATTATCGATACACTACCCTACATTGTTAAATTATTTTTGAGTTCCAATACAGATAGAAAAAAACTATTCGTGTTAAGACCCAGTTAACCATATTGTTAGATATATCAACTCTATGTACTAGTAAAAGTATGTATTATAATAAAATAACAGCTATATAACATTAATTTAATTATGTCTCTAACACAATTCACTTTAGCAATTAAAATACAACCAGCACATCCTGTGCTCAAAGACCGAATGCCGCGGCCTTTATTTTATTTTATTTTTTTCGGACTACTCTAATGCTGTTGGCCGTAGCTAGCCTTTACAGCTTCACCGGACGTTATGGGGCGAGTGTAGATGGCACTCCAAACCCGCGAAAGGACTTATGGTGCGGCTGAAGGCCAACTCCCGCCTGACGGATACGACTTTAGTCTGAGGGCACCATTAGGGGTTCGAACCTCGGCTCAGGCCGTCGTAATTTCGATCCCGTTTGAATTGGACGGGGGATCGATCAGAGGGGTGCCGCGGCTTACAAAAACTCTCCCTTTTATACAGAGAAGATATGAGTGGGGGTTATATGCAACTAGTTTAACGATACCAAGTAATAATGAAAACCTTCTTGTAATATAAAATATCAGATTTTTCGAAAATATCCATGTGAACCCTCAACATTCGAATTTCAAATCGCATTATTATTTATTTATTTTCTATTGTTTATTAATTTTTTTAAACAGCTCTTTCACCCTCGAGAACATTCTTGAGAAATTCTCCACACTGAGCTATGCCATTTTTTATTGCTATACACACGCAGGTTTATGCAAATTCTATTGCATTGGTTTAAGTGTGCTGACCACCTTCATGAAGGAGGACTACTGGGCCGAAGGGTATGGTGTATCGGCGCTACCGTGGTAGATTGTCATCGTCAATGCAGTGACTGCACAGACAATTTATATTTTTATTATCTATCTAAATATATATAACTCAAAGGTGACTGACATAGTGATCTATCAACGCACAGCCTAAACCACTGGACGGATCGGGCTGAAATTTGGCAAGCAGGTAGATATTATGACGTAGGCATCCGCTATGAAAGGATTTTGATTAATTCTACCCCTAAGGGGATAAAATAGGGGACGAAAGTTTGTATGAAACTTTGTCAATTTTAAACCGATCGGGCTGAGACTTAGCACGCATAAAGCTACTATGACGTAGGCATCCCCTTAGAAAGGATTTTGATAAATTCCACACCTAAAGTTATAATTTAACGCGAGCGAAGCCGCGGGCAAAAGCTAGTTATTTTATATGTATGTTAGTCTATAAGGTATTTATAATATGTTCCATATTATTAGTAGTCTGATATATAAATAAATAAATAAAAAATAAATAAAGTTCCAATACTTACTTCTGCACGGTGAGTAGTTGTATAAAGGCCAGCAGAGTAAAGAGAAGCGTCGCGCACGCTACGTTATACTTGAACTGCTCGTCGGGCTGGTTCCTGTACTGCCGCTCCTGTGTACCACTCTTGAACCATAGCGTCACACGATTCATACCTTCAGAATTATTGCTGGAATAGACATTGGTTATACATTAGAATAACTTCTCTTCAATAGCTGCCTTTACTGAGCTCATTAACTTTTTTTCGGACTACTCTAATGCTGTTGGCCGTAGCTGGCCTTTACAGCTTCACCAAACATAGGGGGCGAGTGCAGACCCGCGAAAGGACTTATAGAGTGGCTGAGGGCTAACTCCCGCCTGACGGATACGACTTTAGTCTGAGATTACCGCTGGGGGTTTGAACCCCGTTCCGACGGCCGGTTCCAGGCCGTCGTAATTTCGATCCCCCATCCGATCCGATCGAATCGGATGGGGGATCGATCGGAGTTGCGGTAAAAGGAAAGCGGTGCGGTAAACCGCTAGACCACCGAGACTGTCGCAAATATATATAACTAGTTACTCGCTCCGGCTTCGCACGTGTGGACATCTGGAGACACCCGTAGTGTAAGATAGAGTGATTGAAGAAGAAAGTTAATATATATATTACATGTACATGTATTATAATATATATATAAATCTTTTTCTTCAATCACTCAATCCATTAAAAAAAACCGCTTCAAAATCGGTTGCGTAGTTTTAAAGATTTAAGGATACATAGGGACGGACAGACAGCGACAGTGACTATGTTTTATACTATGTAATAATGATTTCTTACTACATATCAGTAGAATATTTTTTTCTGAGCGTTTACAATAACCCTAAGAAAAGATTTTTCCAAAATTCCCACTGAAATGAGATCTCAGTGCGGACAAAGTCACAGGAAACGAGTAGTGATTAATACATGCTCTTAATTAATTTACATTGACTTAAGGGTTCACTACAATTGGAATATCGTGTTTATAAAATAGTGCAGGCAGCCTCGGTGGTCTAGTGGTTTAGGATATCGCTTTACTATCCGATGATCGCGGGTTCGATTCCTCGGACGGTACAAATATGAGTATTCATCAGTATGATTGTTTGTATCGGTCTGGGTGTTCTATCTATGTACATTACGTATGTATTTACAAAAACATCAAGTATATCCGTTGTCTAGTACCCATAACACAAGTTCTTATTAGCTTGAGACTAGATGGGGTTGTGTGAAATAGAAATAGAAATAATATTTATTCAAATAAACTCATTACAAGCACTTTTGAATAGTCATATTTTGATTCTACCACTCATTCGGAATGCAGATTCAACACAAGAAGTATGAGCAAGAAACTTGTGTGTTGCTCTTTTTAATATATGTTTTTTTTATATAAATAATTACAGTATAACAAGTAAGAGGCATACGATAATCAACATAGAAATCGCTACGCACTCATTATTAGTATGTAGTGAATTGTCCTGGGTTAAATTATTATTATGTAATGTTTAATTTGTAATAATGAAGACATCCCAATAGACAAGGTTGCTGTTTGTGACTTGCTTGTAACATTAAACTATTTTTTTAATTAATTCTAAGAAGTATATGATAACACGTTTTTGGGAAATCCGTATTCATACAGACTCCTAAACATGTAAGTTTTATAAATTTAATTCAAAACAGTAACATTTTCTTACTCGTTCTACTAGGCAATATTTAATTTTCAAATATAGTAAAAAAAATATATTTAAAAACCTTATAATTAAGTTTATTTGAATATAGAATATTTCTATTTTAATTGTATTACAACTATAAACAAACAGTTGGGTAGGTGATCGGTCTGACTCATTAGGTATCTATGTATAAACAAACAGTAGCATTGGTCTGACTCATTGGGTGCTGAATTGGATCGTCTGTATATGCTTTTACATAAGTATTAGCTGTACCAGCGACTTCGTCTGCTTTAAATAGTGACTTTGACCAAAAAATTAAATAATATATAATAATCTAACCCAATAAGAGTTAAATAAAAGTTTCCTCGTTCTATCTTCAAAAATGACGAATTTCCATACAACTCAATTAACAGGCTGAAAAATAAGTTACGCCTGCAATTTATAATCTTAAAAACTACAATACTTTCATACAACCTTTCATCTCCCTTTCCCGTTCCCTTACAACCCTTTTTTCGTATTAAAAAATCTATGTGTTTTTTTCTCATGGTCTAGACTATCTAAGTACCAAATTTCATTTAAATCGATTCAGTAGTTTGGCCTAAAAGCGAGACAGACAAACAGAGTTACTTTCGCATTTATAATATTAGTAAATATTAAATGTAGTGAGAAACAATATTTACGTTCAAGTTTCGCTTGTAACAAACAAGATTAATTTAAACAACATAAACCCCGACCCGACCCTACGCGCGTGTGGTATCCTTGTTGACTAATATACAGACATATAATATACCGAGTAAATTTTGGATGATAAATATTTGTGATACAATATTCTCTGTACAGTTCATGGTTGCCTGGTACAAAAACTCAATATCGAATGAATTAATTGTAGTGTTTTTTTTCTAAACATTTCACCACATGCGTGTGGAAAATCCTTGTTGACTACAGACATATAATTTACCGAGTAAATTTTTAATGATAAATATTTGAGTTACAATATTCTCTGTACTGTTCATGGTTGCCTGGTACAAAAACTCAACATCGAATGAATTAATTGTAGTGATTTTTTTCTAAACATTTCACCATGCGCGTGTGGTATCCTTGTTAACTAATATCATCATCAGCCTGTGTCTATCCACTGTTGGATATAGGCCTAATAATGTTGACTAATATACAGACATATAATATACCGAGTAAATTTTGAATGATAAATATTTGTGATACAATATTGTCTGTACTGTTCATGGTACCAGGCAGGTACAAAAAGTCAATATCGAATGAATTAATTGTAGTGATTTTTTACTAAACATTTCACCATGTACGTGTGGTATCCTTGTTGACTCATATACAGACATATAATATACCGAGTAAATTTTGAATGTTGAATATTTGTGATACAATATTCTCTGTACTTTTCATGGTTGCCTGGTACAAAAATTCAACATCGAATGAATTAATTGCAGTGTTTTTATTCTAAACATTTCACCACATGCGTGTGGAAAATCCTTGTTGACTTATATACAGACATATAATTTACCGAGTAAATTTTTAATGATAAATATTTGAGTTACAATATTCTCTGTACTGTTCATGGTTGTCTGGTACATAAACTCAATATCGAATGAATTAATTGTAGTGTTTTTTTTCTAAACATTTCACCATGTGCGTGTGGTATCCTTGTTAACTAATATCATCATCAGCATCATCATCATCAGCTTGTGTCTATTCACTGTTGGATATAGGCCTAATAATGTTGACTAATATACAGACATATAATATACCGAGTAAATTTTGAATGATAAATATTTGTGATACAATATTCTCTGTACTTTTCATGGTTGCCTGGTACAAAAACTCAACATCGAATATTTTTTTGTAAACAATTCACCCAATATTGGATAATGGTTTCCTTTTTCTTTGTGCTATTCATGGTTTCCTGGTACTAAAGACCGAATTTGAATAAATAAAATTTACTGATACATTTTTTTTAATACAGGGATCTAGGCTCCGAATATGATTTTGTCCCATTCCGTGTCGAGACCCTTGGTCCGAAGGGTCCTATAAGGCTAGTGCTATAAGGCTTTTTAAGGAAATAGCAAAAAGGTTAATCGTCATCACAGAACAGGAGGAACGCTGCCAGTATCTTCGGAACCTTGCCTAAAGGGACTCCTTTTAATAATAATACATTTTAGTTATTATATTATATTTTTTAAGGTTTTTAGTTTCAGGTTAATAATATTGTTATGTTGTATTCTGTTCATTGAAGTTAAATAATATTGTTATTTTTTTTTCTAAACGCATAACATTCAATGTTATTTGCTGCTAAATATGGCTTTTGATAAATAAAAGGATTTGTAAAGAGGTTTAAGTATTTGTTAAATATACATTATAAAAAATGAGATCTTTCCTGTAATCTAAATATATATAACTGACTGACATAGTGATCTATCAACGCACAGCCCAAATCACTGGAAGGATCGGGCTGAAATTTGGCATGCAGGTAGATGTTAGGACGTAGGCATCTGCTAAGAAAGGATTTTGATTTGAAATTAACGCGAACGAAGCCGCGGGCAAAAGCCAGTGTTGATAAAAAGATCAAAATTTTTGATCAAACATGATTCTTTATTTTATTAACTTTTTAGCGGTATGAATGAACTAAACAGGTGAAGGGCGTATTTGTCTAACAGTCCATTCGTTTATCCTATACTGGACAAACGACCAATATATTTCAATAGCTGTTAATTTATTAAAAAATACAATAATTTTAACTAATGTTGTACATGTAATGATTACAACTGAAACAAATTAATTTACATGATATTTTTATTATCATTGCTGGAGAGATCTAAACTTGACATATCAAAGTAGGCGTACTTATAAAAGTAACATTAAACAGAGGTATATATAGATTCCACAACCAATTTCAATGATTAAAATAACGTTTAAACTTAAAACTAGATGTATAACTAATTTATATGAAGGGGAGACCTGGTGTCTAAGTTACAGGCTATGACTTAGTTTGGGCTCCAGATTTCCCACAAATTATACTTGTAATTTTTATTTCTTAGCATTTATATGATAAAACTAAAATTATGTAATTTGTGGAGATGAAATAAATTTATTTATATTTATTATTTATATATTGTAACATGCTAGCACATACAAAATATTTACAAAGTTACAAGTAGTTTAATCATAAATACAACTTACCTGCAATCGCAACACGTCGTTCTTTGCGGTAACAGATTTTGCTCAATCATCGCAAGACTCTGAAACATATTTAAGTAAAATTAGTACATAAATGTCCGGAACATAACGGTTACGAATTAAGATAAAAAGTATCTTTTAAATTCAACATTATGCTTGTCTGTATAATATGCAGTATTAAGTATAACTGAATATTGGACATATTTCCTTGGGAATTTCACCCTTTAGTCAGGAACACAGCTCAGAAGTAAGTGTCTGGCAGCAGAAAAGGTAGCCAGCCAGACAACTTTGTACAAAGTAGCTGCTCTATCCGTAACCCAACACTTCCTCTGCTTATTTCCTTACATAAAAGATAGTCTATGTTCATCCCCGTGATACTATCTATTTTTATGTCAAATTTTATTAAAATCCATTCAGCCGTTTAGTCATAAAAATGAGATGCACTTTCGCTTTAATATTAGTATGGATTTTAGAAATGCAACGCTCCGAGAATGAAGGAAGAAAAGATTAGTGCAAGGCGAGACGCTGCAACGGACGCGGTGTATTCACCCGGAAGAATACTGTAATGCGTATGTATATGATAAAAGTAAGTAATATTCAAGAGCAAGATATATACTATATAAATAAATAAAATACGAGAGTTGCCGAAGCGCCTGCAACTATATAAAATGCAACTCACATTGTTGTGGTTTGCTGGCAAAAACTGAACAGGCGTTAGAATGTTGCTTGTGTATGCGTCTTTTTTTTATGGATTATAATGGAAAGATACGAATAACTTACGCTTACTGATTACGCTGGCAGGGCACCAGAGGAGGGTGATAAAATGAGCATGAAACCCCATCTTGGCAAATAGCAATTTACCACAGAGGTTTCCAGGAGGAATATGGAAGTCAACCTGACATGGTACATTGCTAGCAATGGGATCATTAGTTCACATTACTGGCAATATCATTCGCCCCATTCCTACAAGGCTATTATCTGCTCTATCACCTTCTTGTGTGGGAGTCACGTACCCACAGTACACAGACTCTCTCCTCAATATACGACTTAACAAGTGCAAAGATCTTTTAAATATTTGAGTAGTTAGCCTAAATCCTATTAGCTAGTTCTGATATTAAACAAAGACATCTGGATAAGTCCGTACAATCTGGATTAGTGGTAACAATGTCGCAAGAGACGATAACGTAGTAAGTTCAGAAAATATTCGTACATAGTAAAATATTAGTTCAAAATCAAATAAAAAAATCATTTATTCACGTAGGACATTAAGCGCTTATGAACGCTTTTTTATATCATAATTTTTCCCTATTGTCCAGTTGTATAACATTTATCTGAGTTTCTTGTCAGTTCTTTTCATCTCGAAATCATTCCGAGCTGACGGTAGAGATATCATAAGAGTCTGTCATAGACCTACATGAATAAAGATATTTTGAATTTTGAATTTTTTGATTTTTTTAATAATTCATTTGGGTTTCTTGCTAGTTCTTCTCAATTGAATCTATATACTGAGATTCAATTGAGAAGAAGATCAATGTCTCAGATAAATGTTATACATGCTTACAATGTTATACATGTAAAAATGAAAATAAGTTTTAATAATAATGTAGAATTAAACACTTACGGATATTCCAATATTTTTGGCGAGAGTTGAATCAGTTATATTAGCAAAAGGTTTATCTGCACCCCAACATTCTACATACTTCGTCATCTTGCTGGACGGACGAGATCTGGATGGTACACCGGGCGTTGCTGAAACAGACTTCATTATTAATTTCATGATCACTATTGATCACATACTGGATTATGTTGATTACTTTCGTGATCATGTACTGGGTATAGCATTGCTATTGAAAATATTAATTTAAATCAAATCAAATCAAACTATCTTCATTCTATATATCTCTATTCTATTCTATGTAGCACTATTACAGACTCTTATGATATGTCAAATCTACCGTCAGTTCTGAATGATTTCGAGATGAGAAGAAGAACTGACGAGAAATGCATGTTTTCAAATGTTCATGATTACAGATATACATATTAATTTAGAAATTGTTAAAAGTGTCAATTTTGTAATTTGTTATTTGACAAATCGAATATTTGAAAAATCAATGTTGTGATTTGACAGTTTCGGTTACAAATTGTACCTGTAGCTATAATGGCATTTTTTTAATACTACGATAGTGGCAATCAATCATACGGTCCATCTGATAGTAAATTGTTACCGTAGTCTATGACTGCCTGAAACACCAGGACCCTTAAGAAACCTTAATATACCCTTCTTGAAAGACCCCATTCTGTAGTCTCGTGGGAAAACCTCGGCAGGAAGTTCATTCCACAATCTAAGTGTACGCGGGAGGAAGCTCCTCTGATACCGCACTATTCGGGACCACTGAGGTTCCAGTTATAATGGCAACAAGATATATAATCGCTGAATTGCCAATATATCCAGTTTACAATTACAATGAGAATTTTTGACAATAGAGTTCCATTATATAAAAAAATCATTTATTCATATAGGAGACTTTAGCCGTTTAGGGACGTCCAGTTTTTTGTATTAATATTTTTTCAATAGTTATTTTTAAATTTTCGAGTTTAATACCTAAAATAAATACCTTTATTTGCCATAAAATTAGTTCGTGTTAAGACCCGGTTAATAATATAAATAATGTAATATATTTTCCTATAATTGTTCAGTATACACATTCATTTAATAAGAAATGGCAAAAAACTCATATAAAAGATAATATAGACTGACGGAAAGGTAAGAATTAATTCGGATTTATTTTCAATGAGAATTTCCCTGAATTTAGTACTCATGTTATTAATTTAAAGCTATTAAATTAAATTTGATTTTTCAAATAGAAAGCAAATATATTTATACATCTGTGGTTCGAGAATAAATAAATTGTAACTTAATATGCTTGGAATTAGGTTCAAATTTCCGACTTCTATACTTTATTAGATACTAATTTAAACTTATAATAAATATTTTCATATTACACCTACCTGCCCAAATAAAATTATTTGTCCCTTGATAGTAATATACAGTGACATTGACATAGGATAATTTTGCCGCGCAAATTATTTTATTTTTAAATGCAAATGGAAATTCTACATACTGCTTAAAGTATCAATTTGTTCTTTTTTCAAAAAATATCAATTTAATTGTGCCTTATAATCAAATCAATATACATTGAATATTGCATTTATTCCGTTCTATTTTCAAAAAAATTAATTCGCACTGTGGAAATTTAAAAACATTCTAATGAATTATGATTATAAATATCATAATCATAATATTAATTTTAAATGTCGAACACGTGCAATGTATAAATGAATGATTTATTTTTAAATTGTAACAAATATATCATGCAGTATCAATTTATTTGGAACTTTTTTATTTAGTGTGAAAAGCAAAGAATTTCAGACATACAGCTATTATATCTTAAAATATAATATACTTACACAATTATATGGTACTTATGTGATATTTACATATTATCATTCGATGTAAATATTCAAAATGCTTTACCCATGATATTTAAGTCTATTTTCCTAAAATATAATCGATATTGATGCACAAATTTTATAAATGAATAATGAGATTATTCACAACAAATAAATCACAGTATAAAATTTGCAAGCAATCAACTAACGTAGCGACTCGACGGAAATGGTGCTTAACATCCTAGAAAATAAAGTCGGTTGTAGAGCGTCAGTTGTAGATGGTGTGGAGTCGATAGAACTATCCTCTGGGGGGAAATTAAAATAAGAAATAATATATAAAATTACCGAAACTGACACCCACCCTTTCACCCACTAATAATAATAATAAATAATCAACACAACGCCATCTAGTACCATATGGTAAGCAAAGCTTGTGTTATGGGGTACTAGACAACTGATATGAATACTTAATATTTTTTGGAAACACATATATAATACATATACATAGAAAACACCCAGATCGATACAAACAAACATACTCATGAATTTATAATTTGTAATGAACTCAAAAAATAAATGAACAATTGTATACGTTATCATACTATATATTATTTAAAAAAGATAGAATAGCTAAAAAAAATGTAAAGTTGCCAGTAACAAATACGATAAAAGCTTACCTGTCCCCATAATAGGACTGATGGCACCGATGATAGAACCACTCCGGCTCTTAGGTTTAGTGGTGATGACAGTTCCATTACCAAGACCTTCGCCAGGACTCGTGGCAGGGTTGTTGTTCTCGAAGGCCACTGTCTTGGATTCCACCTTCACTGACGCTCTGCGACTTAGGTCTGAAAATGTAACTAACATTATTTTCAAAAATGTAACTATATTTTAAAAATAGAACACCATAGACTTCATATCTATGCGTTTAGATGACATCAAATTTAAATGAAAAATATTTAAATATCGAATATAGAACGTCATTACTTTCAAAAATTTTCTATATTTCAAAAATAGAACGCCATAAACCTCGAATCCATATGTTTACATGACATACTTATAAATATTTTATTTATAATTCTCGCTAAATTGTAAAGATTTCGAAATTTAAATAAAAATTTGTCTGTCACCATTGTCTGCCAATCTATTTAAATCAATATTTAAAATAGAAGATATATTTATACAAACATTATTCTAAGACACTCTGCAAATTATAAAAATTCTTGGAAACCTTAAAAGTCGTTAATTTTTAATTCATTTCGAATAACAATTCTATCAAGATCGAGATAAAGGACTTGATTCGTCTATTGAAATGTAAGATATTCAATTTGCCTTCACAGTTCAACGGATCTAATTTTATTAAAACCTTTTTACTGTAGCTACATGTATTGTAGATTGTTACTCTCTTAAATTATATTGTTGTAAAGTAACTGTGGGTTTACAATCGAGAACAATATGCTTAGTGTGTGAGTACACGACATTGTGCTTTGACAATATACTCGTATCTTAATTCTTTATTTTATGTATCTAAGTATTTATATCAGTTGTTCAGTATCAATAACACTATCTTTGCTTATATTGGCACTAGATGGCGCTGTGTAAATTTTCCAAGGTTTTTATCATAGTTAATTAAATGAAATGAAAATTCTTCATATACTCCTCACAGAAAAGAAACAAACATTTACATACACTATTATATAATCTATATATATAAATATGAATTGCTGTTCGTTGGTCTGGCTAAAACTCAAGAACAGCTGAACCGATTTGGCTAATTTTAATCTTGAAATATTCGTGAAAGTCCAGGAAAGGTTTAAACAGTGATAAAATATGAAGAAAATGCATGTAAAATAGTAAAAACAACAATTATATTTACCCGTATATGTGGCTGATACCTGTCAAATAAGGTGCGTTCAGAAATTTATTGCCTAACTAAACTTCAAAAGACCTTTGACATATTTTGGGGCGGAACAGAGTTTGCGGGGTCAGTTAGTATACATATAAATAAACAAGAAGGAGCAAGAGAAAGAGGCAACAATGGGCAACCTTATGAAAAGCGATTTCTTCCAAGCAACCTAAGGATAGAGAGGAGCAATTGGACTTAAATCTGGTCGAAGTGTAACATCATATCAAAACACGTATGTAGATAGTAAACTGGACTCAGGTATTCTGAAACATTTCCAGAACTTTCTCTTACCTCCTGGCGTGGTCCTCATAGACTCCGTCCTCAGAACCTTCGACACCAGCTCCTGTTCCACGAAGCTGTGCTGGGATGGCGCCGGGCTGATATTGTCTCGGAGTCTGGTCGGTGATACGTCTTGATATAACGATGATACAATACTGGCTTTGCGGTCAACAGTACAGACTGATAGGCGGCCATTTTCTGATGGTTTCTGTAGAGCAGTAATGCAAGGTTAATCATCATCATCAATGCAAGGTTAGGTTTTTTAATGATATAAATGATGCTCACGGTTGCACTAAAGGTATAGATTGGCGAGGTTCTAGTTTAGAATGATGAAGACAGGTCACACAAATACATCCGAAACTCGAACTCCAATTTTCGAATCGGTTTTACCGATTTTTATGATATTTTGTGTATATGCACGCTACGTTTCATTTACTTACGCACCTTAATGATAAGAGTGACCCATCAGAAAATATATCTTTCTATTTTTTTAATTTATTTGGATTTAGCATTGGAAACTACATACAACCTTGTCACCCTTTTACAATGAACCTCTATTTTTAATAATATTAATTTATATGGCAAAACAATGTTTATCGAGACAGCTAGTTACATATATATTTATATATAGGTTCATAGACAAATTTTTAATAGTAGAAAATAGAAATAATCTTTATTAAAATAAACTTAATATAAGCAAGTTTGAATAGTCACTTTTTATTTTAATCTACCAGAAACACAGTAACACAGACTCATCACAAGAAGAATGAGCGAGAAATTTGCGTGTTACTTTTTTAAATAAATGTTGTAAGTAATGTTCTAAGGAAATACACATTAACAAGGATTAGGCATGCGACCATCAAAGCACTGCACTTAATCTTTGTTCAATAAGGTAATATTGTCGGTACATATATTATACGATATTTTTGTCCACCCCACAATGAAGCTTATATATTACTGACAAGACTCTTTTTTCGTCAATTCCTTTCATTGTCGTAATGAAACAAAATAAATGTGTAACAATTTTCCAATAATTCACAAAGGAACTCCAGGAAGTGAATTACCAATATAATAACCAGGAATATTATAAACGATCTCATGTTTCTCTCCACTGTGTTTTGTTGAGGAAAACATAAAAATATACATTTTAATACCTCATCGAGAGGTGAAAGGATATATTTATAGCTAATAAGTACAAATAAGGTTAAGTTGGGAACAAATTGGGAATAACACAAAGAAACAGCGTACCGAATCGCCATTGTTAACATTTACAATCAAATATATAACTAAATTTATCACAACTTTTTTGTAATATTAAAAAAATTGTAATTTATGAATAAATTTGATATGCAGAACAATAATACTATACAATACTTCATTATATTTGTTAGGCAGAGGTCTAACAACTTGTAACTATTGTAATTGTAATATTACCATTAGATTACGAACTATACTAAAGTTAGATTAAAAAAAAAACAAATGAGTCAATGGTGCCATAATAAACATATTTATTATTATTATCAAAACTGCATTAAGATAAGATTAAGATATTTAATTTCTTCATATTTGATTGTGCAATAGTTAATAGTTTTAAATAAGTTATTTTTTTATTTTAATTTTGTCTACGCTGTATTTGGTTATTACGACAAAGTGTATATTTATTGTCTGCCAGTTACATTTCTTCTTCAGAACAGTACACTTTATATTAATAAATTAATTTGGAATTCATTACTCGTTATATTAACACACAAAGTATAGATAGTAAATATATATTTTAAACAGAATCCTATATTAAAACAGGAAAATCTAACAAAAAATATATAAACTTATATAATTCTCAGAAGTAAAATTAAAATTCTGAAGAGTAAAGTAATGGGGATACCATCTCATCTACATAATTGGCTTATCTATAAAGAGAACGCTGTATCAAGTTGGCATTATTGACTGAGTTATAAGATGAAAACTTCGAATACAATGCTACTATTATTTACACCACCTGAATAAAAATTACATTTTAAATTTATATTTCACATTAAAAAAAAATATAATTTTTAATTGAATTTAGAATTCCAATTTTGAATACTTATTATCCTATATTCAAATTATAAATTTGATTTTTACATCAAATTTGAATCCAAGTTCGAAAAAAAGTCTTTATAAATGAAAATAACATTCCAATTTCGAATTTTTATTATCCTATATTCAAATTCTAAATTTGATTTTTTCTATAATAAAATTGTTTATTTAGGCACGACTCTATAAGTTCATATTGAAAGTAATTAAAACAAAAGAATAGCAATATACGACAAATGGCGGGGAAATAAAAAAAATTCTAAGTTTAAATTTGAAAATCGGTCAAACGTTCCATGAATTACAAGGCCCGACGTACATGTCGTACATGCATTTGCATTCACTCGATACATAATCGAACATGTATACAATTCGTATCATATCGATATATACGGAAATTGACTTCACTCGAGTCCGATGTATCGAGTCGCATGATTGAACACGCAATCTGATCTTGAATATAGATGGTCTATTTTGTTGCCGCCCTATTTGGCACGAGTCTATGATTACAGATCTGCTGTTCAACAGATTGTCGGAGAAAAGAAAATAATATGTGATTTTTACTATACTAGCAAGCAATATAAGCAAGTGCAATAAATGTTTAACATAATAGGAGGCGTAAAGATCATCGTACTTGGAATAGCATACAAGCTATTTAATTGTATAGCAAACAAACGTTTTTCGATTTCGTCTAAAAAGAACAAAGTACAGGAAAGTAACAACAAATTCACCGACCTTTGGCCAGGAACGTCCTGTCATAATGTATTATTATTACACCTTTATCGAAAGTAGAGTGTAAAATAATAAATTCTATTCATCCTTTTTGTTACAATTCCAATTTTGAATTACATAATTTTTTTGCTAAATTTAAATGGTTACACATTTTATTTTTGGTGGTCAGTATTGTCAAAAGTGTATCGGTATACTAAGAAAGTGTTCGAAATGCTGAACAATAATTTAAAAAAATGTAATAGCAGGACATTACCTTGGGTGGTACTATAAGATAAGTTTCCACTTTGTGGTCTGCTAAGTAGCCTTCTCTCGAAGCACCGTCACCTGGTTCCACTTCAAATCTGCCACCCAGCTGTAGCAGTGTTGCTTTCGTGATATGAACACGACTGTAAGAAAATTATCACTCATTAGATTCAATATAAAAATATCCCATATCACAAAACAATAGATCCCATATCTATATGTATGTTCGCGATAATCTCAGAAACTACTGAATTGATTTACATGTAGTTTTAGTCTATAAACAGATTTTATCTATACTGATGAACATTTAGGGTTATAGCAATGTTACCTTAGCCGAGTGACGCCAGAGCAAGTCACTAATACTTAATATTTACCATCATATATATGATAGATACATCTTGCCATAAAAACTATTTTCATTAACTATATTTAAATCTATTGCGGAGTTATGGACTGCAGGCTATTGCTAAACATCAGTATTTGTTCTTGTGTTCTAAACAAAAACCACACTGTGGTCAGTTTTTCTATGTCTGATAAGACTCCATTACTATCGAACTGTAGTTTTAGCATTATGTATCTGTAATAGACTCATATCAAAATATATATTAATTTGATTATTAAAAATTTGTATTTTTTTATTGACCACATAAATAATTTTTGTCTTTACAGTACTTCAGGAAATACAAAATTTATACTCATCGACCAATTACTAGCAAAAAGCAGGCTATTTGCAGAACTTTAGAGTTACATTATGAATAAATATTCATAATTAAATAAATATTCGAAGTTATAAGTTTTTATTATATATGAATAATTTGAAATTGGAAAGAATAAATTGACAAGATTAATATTTGTATTCGTTCTTAATTCGAATTTCAAATTTAAATTTCCAATAATTCAATGGAATTCTTGTATATATTTCAGAGATAATTTGTTTAGTTTAATTAAATATCACCTTTCATAATGTCATTATTTAATGAAAATATATTAATGAAAATGTTTTATTTATTATTTATTTATTTGCCAAGTTCTTCGATTGTATAAGTTTTAAGCAACTAAAAAATATCTTTATATCAATGTGTGTGTTTTATTTTATAATCTAAACTAATATTATTAATGGTAAACATATGTATTTCTTTAAGTTATAAGTAAACTCTGTTATGTTCTGTTCGGTTATGTATATCAAATTACTTGTTACAAAAAATAATATTTTTTTCAGGAAGACCAAATTCGAACTACTTACCTTCCGTGTTTGCGAATATAAGCCTGGGCGGTAAGCTACTAAGTCATGACAATAATCTCAATATGTATATTTTAATTGCAAAACATACAGGTATGAATATATTTGTTTACTAGTAGCAGTATTGCTACTTTTGAGAGCGTCGTAAACTGCAATTTTTTGGGCAGGTTAAATTCGAACTGACGACCTTTGTTATTTAGTGTGTAGGTAGTCAACCACTGAGATATAACGATTTGTAGACCATGATAAGACGTTGAATAATTACCTCATAGGAGGCAATACAATATAGGTATAACTCATTACCACAACCAAGTTTTAATACATTACTCACTTTTTTCTGCGAAGTAAATTAATTATTTCATAATTATTATGTTTGTGGCTTTTAAGTAACACCAAGAAAAATATTATATTATTCAAACATTTCCTTTATTTATAACAATTTACATTGTATTGAATTTTATTACGTATAATAATTTATAATCAATAGATAGATAAGGTATCATCACTACATATATATAAAACAAAGTCGCTGTCGCTGTCTGTCCGTCCCTATGTATGCTTAAATCTTTAAAACCAAATAACGTATATATCAGAATAACACATAAAAATTCACGCGTAAAACCGCGGACACAGCTAGTTAAAAATATTTCTATAAAAAATCTTTATTTACAGACATAAAAATTGATATGATCGTTGATATTAAAAAAAAAAATCTTTTAATCATTAGATGTTGTGGTGGTGGTGTAGTGGTTGGAAGTATGGTTGATACTTCCAACCACTCACTACTTATTAATCAAACAGTGCTGACTCACCCAGCTATACCGCCAGACTCCATGTGATTAGCGAGCGTGACGTCATCACTCCACACATCAAACTGCCATTTTCGGAGTCCAAGCACACCGCACAAGACGTTACCAGTATGGATCCCAATACGCATGTCCACATTGAAGCCAGTCGCTTCACGCACGAATCTATAAGAAAACAGCCAAATTTACTATTTAAATTAAATTTAGAAGGAGCAGGACTTTCCCCTCCGATCGATCCCCCGTCCAATTCAAACGGGGATCGAAATTACGATGGCCTGAGCCAAGGTTCGAAACCCTAACAGTGACCTCAGACTAAAGTCGTATTCGTCAGGCGGGAGTTGGCCTTCAACCGCTCCATAAATCCTTCCGCGGGTTTGGAGTGCCATCTGCACTCGCCTCCTATCATCCGGTGTAGCTGTAAAGGCTAGACCAACAGCATTAGAGTAGTCCGAAAAGAAAGAGCAGGACATTGTCGGCTACATTCAGACCTGGAGTACCTGACTTTAAGGGTGACGCAGCTGGAGTCTTACTATTAGGGGTACTTGATTTCTTGTCCCGCCTACACTACGACACCAAGGAGCAGAACATTGTCAACTACATACAGACCAGGAGTAAACTGACATTGAGGATAACGCAGCTGAAGTTGAGTCACAACGCGAGTTTCAAGGCGTTCATGGCCCCTAGCATCATGCTGATCACCTTCATGTAGGAGGACTACTGGCTGAAGGGGGTGGTGTATCGACGCTACCGTGGCAGTCGTTAGCATAGAGAAAATTTATATATTACTGCCATTTCATATGTACATATGTTAGTCTATAAGTTATTTTATAATATGGGTCATTAGCAGCCTGAATGAAATAAAATAAATAAACATTATTAAAATTTATTTTATAATAATAATATTATCATCCCGAGACTATTCATACAGCGCCATCTAGTCCCAAGTTGAGCAAAGCTTATGTTATTGGTACTAGACAACTGATAAATATATGGATACATTTTTTTGTAAATACATACATAATATATATAGAAAATATCCCGATTAATACAATAATGCTCATGAATACAAATTTTCGTACCGTGCGAGGAATCGAACTTGTTTCGAATTTATCTATGTATTTTATTTAAAAAAAAAGTATTGAAATTTTTGTATCAGTTGTCTAACACCTTTAACACAAGCTCTGATTAACTTGGAATGTTCGTGGTGCTAATATTTTTTGCATTTCTACATAGATATATAATACCTTATAGCTTCTATCATCTGTAGGCCCATGTTGACACAGTTGTAGGCGTGGTTTGGTCTTGAAATTGGCAGTCCAGACACGCAGTAGTAACAGTCTCCGAGGATCTTAATACGCATGCACTGGTTTTCCTATAACAAACAAAGAGTACAATGTTAGTCAAGGCTGAAGACAATTCAATGAGAGATTTCTTTTACAAACTGCAATTAAATACATAACTATAGGCACATATAACCTCAAAAAAAACTTATTGGCCTATATATATATATATAGAAAATAATCTCAAAATATTTGGTTAGAACCTTCCTACGGGTCTCTCCATTTTGGCCACGTTATCACACAAACATACGACACCGTCCTCACCGGCGAATACGATGACCCCACTACACCGGCGCACCAGTCGCCCCTCCGATCGTTCCCCCGTCCAATTCAAACAAGGATCGAAATCGTCAGATGTCAGAAACAATTAGACTTCAACCGCTGCAAAACAGCGAAAATGTTCGTTATACAGCGATAGGTGCCAAGTGCTATCTGCCCCTACCAGTGAAGCTGTAAAGGCCAGCAGCGCCAAACAGCATTAAGATGAACAAAGCAAAGAATATGGTTAGAATTTACTTTTTCACAATAAATATGCTTGTTTAACGCTGAGATAAAAAATAGTGGCAACAGAAGATTATAAAACCGCATAAAGTCAAGGGGCATCCCTAACGTCAAGGTCATAAGAGACAAAAATTACTACAATGCGCGCCTGGTAAAGTAACGCTGAGATAAAAAATAGTGGTAACAGAAGATTATAGAACTTAAAAAATCGCAAAAAGTCAAGGAGCATTCCTAAGTCAGGGTCGTAATTACTATACAGCCTATACAGGCAACAATTACTACATTGCATGCCTGATAGGATATTACTTAAGACTTAAAACCGTGTTTATTGGCAGCCCTAATTACATTTGCCATAATAGTTCAGTAGTTCAAGGGTTGGCACTCGCATCAATCACTCCGTTCTCAAGTTTTAAACTAAGCATCGATTACAAGCTATCAATCTATACAATGTAACAACTTGTCTTTTGTTACCATAGCTGATGTCATAAAGTTGAACCACCCTGATAGTATTCATGATATTGACAAAATTTCTCTAAGTCTGTCTCAATTTTGTATGAGAAGTTTCTTGGAGAAAATGATTCAGTTTCAATTGTATTTTATTATAGCATTCATTGAGTAACTATTATATTGTTATTGCTTTTTCTTTTAGCTTGACATGTCTGTGTTACGACTAAACTTTTAGCTATATGAAATATGAATATATTAATATGATGAAATATTAATAGAATAGAATAGAAAACCATTTATTCAAATAAACTTAATTTAAGCACTTTTAAATAGTCATAACAATTTTTTTTTTATCTACCACTAAACCGTTCGGAAAGCTGTCTCATCACAAGAAGAACGAGCAAGAAACTTGTGTATTGCTCTTTTAAATAATCCTTGTAAGTTTAAATTTACAAGTCGAAACGTGTGAATACAAACTACCAACCAGCACTAATTTTTTGGGTCAAATATAAATATGCAATAAGATTAAATCAGTCGTAGTGATAAGAGCAGACCAGTCGCTACAAGCAGCACTCGTTCACGAGTGTATGAATATGAATATACTATGAATTATATAGTAGCTAAAAGTTATTTAATTATTAAAATAAAATAAAAAAGAAATCCTACGTGTCTTCCTTTTAATGTAACTTTATATTTATTAATTCTGTAAAATAAACTATTTGTTTTTCAATATTATTATTAGTAGTTTTTACAATACTATGAATATATGTATAATAATAAATACGTACAATGTTTAATATAAAATTAGCAAACATTGTGCATATAATGTACAAATAAATTTGTTTCCTAAACGATATATATTTAGAGTTAACAATTGCATTGTGAATTTCTAAGTTAGACTTATGAAGTTAGTTCAACGTTTTAACATTGAGAAAGTTAAGCCCCATAAAATACTTGTGGGTACGTAAGTTTTGTACTTAATTATAACTTGAAATCAACTCAAGTATTACACAATCCAATACATTGTATTCATCTCAATAATTTTCCAGAGGGTGAATTTCTATAAAGACATCTGCGTGGCTACATCTTGTTCAGAGCGTGTGGAGTGTCCGTATGAACGATTTGATATAAAAGTGATCTTCTCAATTATAATAATAATGAATATGGACTCTTCACACAGCGCCATCTAGTCCCAAGCTAAGCAGAGCTTGTGTTGCAGGAACTAGGCAACTTATACAGAAACTTAACTACTTTTTTTGTTAATATACTCGTATATACATAGAAAATACACTCAGGAAGGACACCGAAGAGATACTATCATTAACGCCACGACCACTCATAACGCCACGCTAAAACAGCATATGGGTACTAGATAACTAATATATATAGAAAACACCTAAATCATTACAAACAATTCTACATATGAATAGAAATGTTTGTCCCATGCTAGGAATGACTCCGAGATCATTGAAAGTTAAGCGGTATTCTAAACCTCTAGACCGTGAGATCGATCGATTATAGATACATAGTAATGTAGACAAACATTTTAAAAACAAATGTTTTTTCACAATGAAATACATAGTTACATTAAAGAAACTGATATAGGATTTATTCCATACTAGCTACTCGCCCCTACTTCGCACGGGTGTACATGTATTACATATATAAACCTTCCTCTAGAATCACTCTATCTATTAAAAAAAACTGCTTAAAAATCCGTTGCGTAGTTTTAAAGATCTAACTAAACATAGGGACGGACAGACAGCGACAGCGACTTTGTTTTATACTATGATGATACCTAAATTGTTTTTCTTCACTAACCTGCGCAATTTGATCGAATCTTCCAAAAAGCTCGTTCAACGTTTTCACTAGATCAGAAGCGCTCAGACGCTCCGACAGCGGGGTGAAGTTGACAATATCTGCATACAGGATGCTGACATTGTTATGTCTTTGTACGTGCATCTCGTGGAACCTGGTCTGCTTGGAGCTGTCCACGCACGCGTCAGCCATCTTCAGCATTATGGACCGTTTCGCCTGAAACAAATGAAAAATATTCATCATCATCATCATCAGACCACTGCAGTCCACTGCTGGACATAGGCTTCTCCCAAGGCACGTAAATATAGCTACTCGCCCCGGTTTCGCACGGTGTACATGTATTATTTAAAAAAACGGCTTCAAAATTTGTTGCGTAGTTTTATAGATTTAAGCATATAATGGGATGGACAGACAGCGACAGCGACTTTGTTTTATACTATGTAGTGATATTGTTTTGATAATAAACATAACAAGAGCGTAGCTCTTAAATTATGAATGAATATAGATATTGAGAAAAACTGGCCTGTACTTTTTCTATTTTTTTTAAGTTAGCTATTGTCAGTAGACTGAAGGTCCTTTTTTGCGTTTTGTAGATAGATAGAGAGATAGAATAGATAGAAGAAGATACTTTATTTGTAACACACAATAAAGAAAAGGTATAAACAATATTTATTTATTTATTTTGGTCATCCTTTTGTTTTGAACTCTGTATTAATAACTATATATTTAGTTAACAGATCCTCCACATATGTATATCTGCCTAGAGCTGTACCAACTCGAAGTATTAACTCGAGTTGCGATGAATTCGAGTTAACTCGAGTTGAATCCTGCCAACTCGAGTTGGAAGAATTCAACTGATAAATGAACGAATCACGTGAAAGAGCGACATGGTCTGTCGTCGAACCGACAATGACATGAAATTTTACGATAATTTCATATCATACAATTTTTACTCGTCATAAATGTTTCAATATTGTTATGTTATCATTAAAATGATTATGCGCTCTATAAGTCTTTCCGCGGCTTTGAAGTGCCATTTCTACTTGCCCCCTACGGTTCGGTGAAGCTTTCAAGGCTAGCTGTGGCCATAAACATTAGATTTGTTCGAAAAATTTAAAAAAAAAAGAAAAAATCAACTGTTTATTCCAGGTAACTCGAGTTATGTTTATTACGAGTTAACACATCTCTATATCTCAGGCAGATATAGAAATGTGTTAACTATTGCGGGTAATCTCTGACTAATTCGCCATCTTTCATCCCTATATAACATTGGAACAGACGCTTACTAATTTACTACTTAAATTTTATAGATGAATCATAATAAATTACAACAGATTACTAATTCATTATGATCCTCTACAATTTTCTTTATATACATAGTACTAAGTTTACATCGCCACAAGACTTTCGCGTTATAATATGGTCTAAGAGTAAAGGGGATATTACATTATCCAATATATGAGATATATTTCTATATTTATATTTTGAAGTTATAAACATATTTGAGGAATGAATATACATGTCACTAGGATATTCAAAATACATACATAATCTATACAAATTATAATATAAAGTACTCCTACGTATGTGACAGTGTTGTTCTCAGATAACCTCAAAAACAGCTGAACGGATTTTCATCCAGTTTTTAATTTCTAGGAAAGGTAAAAATGTATTACTGTTTAAGGTTTTGTGTATATTTTTTGGATTATCCACGAGAAGTTTGGGTGGGTCGCTAATATAACTTATTAACTCATCATACAAACATATACATATATAATACCATAATATTTATTTATTAGAACTTTGTGTTATACCTAACGGACGCAAAACATGTCGGTCAATATTTCTAATATGTATTAATAGATTTCTTATAATACTAATTTTATGAAAGCAAAAGTCTTCGTCAGTCTGTTTGTTTGTCACCTTTTCACTAGTAAAGGGGTAAACGAATCCTAATGAAACAGTATGAAGATACATTGTGGGGTAACAGCAATTTGATAATGTAATAACACCTTGAGAAATCTCAGTTTCAAAGGACAACAATAAACATAATAAAACTCGAATGTCTGCCGCTGACAAGCTTTATGAGGGAATCAGACAGAGAAATGTGTAGAGGCTCCTTGAGAATGTTGATTATATAATTTGCAGGCAAACTTCTAACAGAAAAATAAATGAAGAACATATTTTCTATAAACGCATCGTCTTTGCAGTTATTTTAATTATTGGTTAGGCTTTGACGGCGACCTCTAGGGGTTGAGCACAGCGCTTTACTTTGATGGTCGTAGGTTAGATTCCTCGCAATGTACCAATATTTCTATTCAAGAGTATGATTGTTTGTATCGGTCTGGGTGTTTGCTATGTATTTATAAAAATGTATCTATGTATTTATATCAGTTATCTACTGCCCATAACAAGTTCGGCTTTCCTTGCGACTAGATAGCGCTGTATGAATTTAAGAGGCAAATATTCTCACCGTTGCTTCTCAATTTATATATTCAAATATCCTATATGTTCATAAAAATCTTGACTTATTTCCAAAAAACAACAATATTCATAATATTAATACTAGATTTAAAGATAAACTTGCTGTCCCCAAGTATCGTTTAGAAAAAGTCAATAGATCTTTTATGGGAAAAGGTATAAAAATTTACAATAAGATACCAAAGGATATATTCGAATTACCCTTAAATAAATTCAAAACATCTGTTAAATCATATTTACTGAGCAAGGCCTATTACTCACTAAACGATTACTTGAATGACGAGCGTGCATGGCAATAGTTTTCATGTTCGGGATTTTCATTTAATGTATTATTTTATTTAATTTAGACACCTATATAAATACCTATGCATTGTAAATAAACTGGATTTAAAAAAAAGTAATTCAATTGAATTTCTTGCCAGTTCTTCTCAATTGGATGTATATACCGAACTGGACGGTAGGGAAAAAAAATATAATGTAAAAACTTGACATTCATAAGCGGCTAAAATGTCCTATATGAATAAATGATTTTTGAATTTGAATTTGAATTTTTCAGGGCTATTATTATTATTATTAATGGTTTATAATCCTGACTTGCACCTAGAAGGTCGTGAAAAGAAATCCGATACTAAAAAATACTTGGATCCGATACTAAAAAATACTTGGATTCTATTATTACACTAGCTGTTCGCTAGTGTAATAATAGAAGTAATCAATTATTTCGCGACTTCGTCCGCGTGGAAATTAACTTTATTTTTCTAAAATAAAAGTAGCCTAAGTTACTCGTTTTTAAATCAGCTACCTGCCAATAAAAGTCCCGTCAAAATCGGTCCAGCCTTTTCAGAGATTAGCCGGAACAAACACACTGACAGACAGACAGACAAAAATGTTGTAAAAAATGTTATTTTGGTGAATGTACCGTATTTATAATCATATGCAAGTAGTAAAACACGGTTATTTCAATATTACAAATAGACACTCACACAAATAGACAATTTTATTTATATGTATAGATAAAGTCAGAAGAAATGTTGTAGAAATTATTTTCATTGTTTCACTTTAGTTGTATCTATAAAATAGCAATTTGCCTGAAACTAGAGGCGGGCCTTGAACTGTGCTCCTTTAAAATATTAGATGTCCAATGTTTAATTAAACAGTGTAACTTTAGCGATGGAAATCTTATACCAGCATGTATTTGACGGCGTTGGTGGACTAGCGGTTTAGTACACCGCTTTACTTTTGTCGGGGGTTTGATTCCTCGCACGGTGCTAACATTTAGATTCATGAGTATTATTGTTTGCATCAGTCTGGATATTTTCTATGTATATTATGTATGTATTTACAAAAAAATCTAAGTAAACTAATAATAACAGTAGTAAATAATCCTGGACAATTAACACAGCGCTATCTAACCCCAAGATATGGGTACTACACAACTGATATAAAGACTTAGAGACATTTTTTTCGTTACAAAACACCCAGACGAATACAAATAATCATACTCACGAATATAAATGTTTGCACTGTGCGAGGAATCAAACCCACGACCGTCAGAAATAATATTTGCAGAGTAATATTTTTGGGACTAATTTAAATAAAATATTAGCATTCTGCACTTCTAAATATATATAACTCAAAGGTGACTGACTGACTGACATAGTGATCTATCAACGCACAGCCCAAACCACTGGACGGATCGGGCTGAAATTTGGCATGCAGGTAGATGTTATGACGTAGGCATCCGCTAAGAATGGATTTTGATTAATTCTATTATTCTTCCCTTAGGGGATAAAATAGGAGATGAAACTTTGTCAATTTTAAACCGATTGGCCTGAGACTTTGCATAAAGCTACTATGACGTAGGCATCCCCTAAGAAAGAATTTTGATAAATCCCACACCTAAGGGGATAAATTAACGCGAACGAAGCCGCGGGCAAAAGCTAGTAATAAATATGCGAAATTTCAAACACCTCCGTCTGAGCAATTTTCGTTAAAAGGGGTACAAAGTTTTTGCTTCAGGTATTATTTTATATTTATATTACATTCACGTCCAGATGTATCATTCTCTTTGCCACACTGTACGTATTTAACTTATATTTTTATTATCTTTTAATAGAATTACAAACAGTAATTGTCAATATTATCGTAATTTTTTTATCCTCAATTGTAATCGTGATATACATATGTACAACTAGCTGTACCCGCAACTTCGTCCGCGTGGTATATATAAAATGTCTTATCAAAATCAGTCCAGCCATTTCAGAGATTAGCCGGAACGAAAGCAGGCAGACAGACAAAAATTATAAAAAATGCTTTTTTTGGTGTATATACTATATTTATATTCATATGCATATATGTAGTAAAAAACGGTTATTTCAATATTACAAACAGACACACAAATGTTTACTTATGAAGGCAATTTTAACTTTCACAATGATACTATTTCATCAAATTGACTAAGTCATTTGCAAACACAATTGCTTATAATTCAAGTACAGGCGTTATAGCTATAACCTATAAATTGTAAAATGAATTGACTCTCATGAATTTATAAAAACATATTTTGTCTAGAAATTAATATACATTTATTTATGTAATTAGTTAATAGATTTATATTAATTTGTTTGTTTAGCATGTGTGTGACCACAAATATTTGTCGACCAATATACAACGAACTGGGCTTCTGAGCTATATCCAAACTCAATTTAATTCCTGATGATACCTCGTTAGGAGAC